GGGAAAAAGGGCACCATACTTCGAGAAAGAGGGGTCGATGCGACAAGAGACATCGAACTTCATGAAAGAAAGGTCGGTGCACAGGGCGTCAGACTTTAAGGACAAAGAAATGTTGATATGTTTTTAGTAAATACATAAAAATCAAGGGAAGTATCTCAAACAAACTTTTAGTACTTGGCTGTCTAATTTACCATATTTGTTGAGTGTAGGTCAAGGTAGACCTAACCCTTACTGCAGGGTAGTGAAAGGTTAGAAAAGGCATGTGAGACCTTTCGCAGTTCCAAGGGCAAGCCAGAGTTGTCGACAAATCTAAAAGTTCGTTCAATATTCAATGTTGTAAAGACATCGAAGCCTTTGTTGAAGGATCAAGGGAATCTAAACTAAGGCAAGTCGAGACTAGTAGAAGGGGATTCCTACGGGCAAGATGTATTCAATGACGCAATAGGTAGTGATTTTACATGGTTAAATAATCGAGGCGAGCAATTTTTACGAGGATGAGTTAATATGGGGGAACAAGAGAAAGTTGAGGCATCAATGAGTTTCTAAGGTGATTCAATATATGTTCGTTAAAGTGGCGCGACGAGAGTGTCACCAGATCAAGTGGGGGAGAATGTCACGACATGCAAGTTTGAGTCCACGACGTATATGCAAATACTCACAAAAGGGGTTCTTTGCAGAGTATTGCCTAGACCTCCAGGCTTGCTCGATCCTGGGAGCATAAATCATATTCTCTTTGTTTCCCTAATTTAAGAAGATATAATTCCTTAAATTATATGGATACTGTATATAATGTTGACATAATGTTTGATTTGAATTCTAATTCCTCAAATAAGATAAGATTCAATCTCAGTTGTCGATGTAATTTGATCTAAGCAGTTGAAAGTAAGTGGACTCAATTATAAATAGAGCGCTCTCCGCCACATTTGTATTCATTCCATCTCATTTTTACCTTCAAAATAATAGAAGAATCATTTACTCAAAGTTCTCTATTGCTTCATTGTTCTTAGTTTCTTTGCTATTTTTGCCTTGTTGTCTCTCTTGGTGGCTTGAATAGCTTCGGCTGTGTCTCTGCTTCCGCATATTGTTTAACTCTAAAGGGTTTGTTTAGCCTCATGACAATATGAAAAAAATTGATGATATGGATAATTTCTAATTAATAAGGACCATGGATGATGTGAGGGAAGGGCCCATCAAATAATTTCTCCCTAATTGGGTATCATATTTTGTGAAAAGTAATTTATAAAACGAATAATATTTTGAAGATTATACAACATTAAGAATTTAAGACTATTTCTAATAAAGTTTTGAAGTCTTGAGAAACACTTCCACTTGGTTCAACAGCTTTCAACACAAGCTCTCTCAGTGCTTTAATCCTTTCTCTCATTTGCCTCCCTTCTTCATGACCCAAAATGAGCTTCAAGCACTTGAGTATCCCACTCTTTGTGAATACATTCCCCTCTACTCTAACACCAATCCCCCATATTACCTCCACCACACGTCCAATCATCCCATGATCCCCAAACATGGGTCTGCACATCATTGGGACTCCATTTGTAATGCTCTCAAACACAGAGTTTGCCCCACAATGTGTCACAAACACACCTGTTGAAGCATGTCCCAACATCATGGTTTGGGGTGCCCATGAAATCAATTTCCCTTGCTTTCCTGTCCTTTGAACAAAGCCATCGGGTAAATGGTGCTTATATTCATTGTTAAGAGACCAAATAAACGGAATGCCACTCTCTTCGACCGCCTCTGCTAAGGCTTTTAACTCCTCCTCTGGCGGAGCCGCTGCTGTTCCGAAGCTAATATACATAACCGACTTGGAACTTTGCTTGTCCAACCATGATAAACATCCTGTGGCATCTGAATCTGATGGTGGTAATGGAGGCGGGGGAACTTCTTGCGTTAAGAAACCAACGTTCAGCAAAGCTGGGAACATGGATTTGAGATCATCTAAAAGTTGTGTGGGATAAAGTTCTTGGCAAAAACTCATTACAATGGCCGTAGATCGAGGCAAAACACATCTGATTTTGCTCAACCTGTAAGAAAAGAAAGTTTCTTTCGAATGTTTAGGCAATATTTCGTCAGATAAATCCGTAACGTGAATTGGAGATAACCCTGGGATCATTTCCAAAGTTTGGTGTTGGAATCTGCCACCATTTTCGTTACAACCAACATCACTGAAAAGTCTGCGAATGAGATCAGTGTAAATATGGGCTGACAGACTGTGTGGAATCGAAACACAAACAGGGATCCAAGTAGCATGCATGTTCTCTGCCATATCTGCAGCAGATGTCAAGAACATATCCGTGACTAAGCAACTAACTTTCCTCCCAGTTTCCATGACTGCAAAATCTAAGTCCTTTTGAAAGTTTCCAGGAGTTGCTTTCAGGAAAAGGTCCAATCTCTCCACTGGGTTTCCATTGAAAACATGATTGATCGGCACACCATCCTCCACATTATAAGCTCTTATATTATTGGGAATGGAAACATTATGATTAAAAGTGGAAAACAAAGACTCATTAGATTTTGGTGTGGTCAGGAAAGAAAACGGCACATTGGGAGCTGTAATAGCCAACCTGCACCCAGTCCAAGGATGGCTAGATTGTGACTGCCGAATGGGAAGACCAAGACGGCAACATGTGCTTCTTTTAAGCTTTGGGCTGCTGGCATTTAGGAACCCTACTTTTTATTGATGAGGGGATTGCCTGGGCACTAGTCAAACGTTATGTTTAAACATTATTAGGCAGTTTGGTGATTGAATAGCAAAAGACAATAACAAAGGGGAAAAATCTCATAAGAGTGTTGGGCATGTAAGTTTTCCATTAAATGTGGTCTATATAGCACTCAAAGCTTATATATACACATATGATCTCGGTTATCTTTAATTAAAGATACTGCCAAGTGCTGTCTTTAATTTAAAGATGTTATAAAAGTCATTAAGGTCTATTTATCCTTAAGTTACGTCTTCAAATTAAAAGACATTTCTTTCATAACGATTCATTGACGCTTCATTTTAAGTTAAAAGTTTAACGAATAACATTATAATGCATTATTGTTTCACATAATTACGTCTTTAACGAAACATATTACGATGTTTCATCAATGCTTCATTTAAATTCTCAATGTAAAATGGAATAAATGGCTATCTCTTTTTCCCATATATATATATATGGGGTAAGGGGAGGTAAGATACTAGGCTACCCCCAACACCAGGTTGAGAGCAGCTTCTGTAAGAGACCTCCGAATTATGAAATGCCCTCCGTGGGACTCGATCCCACGACCTCAAGGTTAAGAACCTTGTGCTCTACCAACTGAGCTGGATGGTCATTTCTAAATGTAAAATGGAATGTTTTCTCATAATAAGAAAGCATTAATTACAGAGAATTTTTTATGGAAAAATTTTATAGTGTCGCCTGTACAGATAGACACTTTGTTTCAATGTTTAAAAGGAGTGTTTTTCTCCTCTGATGTTCTGAATTCGAGCAGCTGCGTTTACAGGGTGTGTATGTATTGTCAATGGTTAAGAAATTTTTTGAACAAATACTATCTTATAATCGTCTCAAACTATTGAAAAATACAATCCAAAAGATACATCTTTTAAAAGTTTTTAAGAACGTAGAAGTGCTAATACACAAAATCACTAAAACATCAATAGTTGGAAATTAAATTCTATTCTGATTTTAATTAAATTTACATATTATTTTTTGAGTTAATTAAATACATGTATTATGTTAAAATCCACAATATGGTTATAAATGAGTTTTTTTTGTATTGATAAATACAAAATTAGATTAATTGTTAAAAGTTTTTATCAACAACTTGGTGTGGATTATCATGAAACTTTTAGTATAGTTGTCAAGCCAACAATAATATGTTATATCACTGATCTTCTTGCTCGAACAAAAACTGTCTAGTGCATAACTAATTGCTACCACTCGCTACAGATGACAATCTCACACTTCATTTCGAAGTAATACTAACTTATTGCACATAAAATAGAACTATTATTGATAGTCTATAATATATCATATGCAAATAACAAACTTTCTCAATTTATGCATCGCTCTACTACTATGAAATATTGAACTGCTGTAAAGCGACTAATTCGATATTTATATGGTATATTAACACATGGATTATTTCTTCATACGGAAAATCCACCTTCTTTTCATGCCTTCTCGGATGCAAATTGGGTTGGCAACAAAAACAATTATATATTTACGAGTGTCTATATTATTTATCTTGGTCGTGATCCTATTTTCCGGTCAGTATTAATATACACAATAATTCTATAATTGACTACAAATTTAGCACTAAGTAAAGCTAGTATTTTTTGTGTAGGTTCTAATCGTGCTATACCAAGCTAGTTTAATCATCGAATAGATAATATACTTATGTTTCGCATTCTGAAAATCGTAAATGCTTAAATAGGTCCGTGTCTCATTTGTGCTAAACATTTATATGTATTTTTACTTAAAAATTATACGATTTTCGCTATCAAATTATGTGAAATTCAATAAGATCGTATTGCTTTGTGTGAGTATGTTACCTTGTATGATTGATAAGTATGATAAATACACACTTGATTCATTTATATGTCATACACTTTGGATAACTTAATGATATGTTCTTGAGTTGAAATATACTCATTTATTGTATGTCATACTGTATTATGTATGAAATTAAATATTAATTTTGTAGATTATTATTTAAGGATTTACTATTCAAGAATTTATTTGATATTTTAACAATAATTTAAAGATAAAATTAAATATTAATTTTTGTTGTTAACATTGCTACATCATCAATTTAACATTTTATTATAAATCAATAATGGTGACTAATTTATTTCTTTCAAAATTTTAGGAGAACAAATAAAAATATATTATAACATTATTAACTATTTACGCAGTTTATCCCAAAAATTGAACACACCATCAGCAAAGCCAATTATTTCGTACCTCCAATTCTTTTTCGGAGTTCAACTGAAAATTGTAGCCGACAAGCCTCGCTCCAAAAGAACACTAGTTCACCGTTGAGAAAAAATCCCCATAAAGGAGAAAAAGTTTGATCGTCATGGCCAAAGATCAGTCAATCTCCGTGTCAGAAGCCGTACACAAGATTCAACTCCACCTGCTCGACGGTATCCAAGGCGAGAAACAACTGTTCTGCTCCGGTTCCTTAATTTCCCGAAGCGACTACGAGGATGTCGTAACCGAGAGGTCGATTTCCAACACCTGCGGTTATCCTCTCTGCCCAAACCCCTTACCTTCCGAACCCCTTCGAAGAGGCCGTTATCGAATCTCTTTGAAAGAACACAGAGTTTACGATTTACAAGAAACCAGCAGGTTTTGCTCCTCCGATTGCCTGATCAATAGTAGAGCTTTCTCTGGGAGTTTACAAGAAGAGAGGTGTTCCGCTTTGAATCATGCGAAACTTAATGCGATTTTGAATTTGTTTGATGACGTGGATTTGGGCGAGAAGGTTTTGGGGAAGAATGGGGATTTAGGGTTTTCCAATTTGAGGATTAAAGAGAATGAGGAAACAAAAGCCGGGGAAGTTTCATCTGTGGGTCCTTCCAATGCTATTGAAGGCTATGTCCCACAAAGAGAATTGGTTTCTAAGCCTTCACCTTCAAAGAGCACCAAAAATGGAGGTTAGAGTTTTTAACATCAATTATTCAAGTTATTTTTTTATAGAAAAAACTTGGTTTTATTTGTTTAAAATATTTTTTTCTCCTTTAATTGCAGTGTTTGATTCTAGTAGCTCCAAGATTGGTAATAGCAAAGGAGATTCTGTTTTTAATAATGAGATAGAATTCACTAGTACTATAATTATGAACAATGAATATACCATTTCTAAGAATCCTGGCAGTCATAGACAGGGTCAAAGAATGAAGCCTAGCAGCACGAATAATGTTATTAATGGGATGGACTTTACTAGTGAAATAATCATGAATGATGAATATACTGTTTCCAAGACACCCCCAGGGTCAAGACAGGGTTGTTCAGGTTTAAAATTGAAAGAAGTGGAACGAGGAGGAGTTTGTAAATACTTTGAGGAAAAATGTATGATATCAGAATCCTCGTCTCCTTTGAGGGAAAAAGATTCTAGCATTGTAGAACTGTCTTCGACTAGTTGTGTCTATCAGAGTGATTTGGGCATAATTGGTACTGAAGCAGAGAAGGAAACCTGTGCTGACAAGTCTGTGGCATCAAGTGAGGTTGTGCTTAAGTCCTCCCTTAAATCTGCCGGACGAAAGAAACTTAATCGCTCAGTTACTTGGGCTGATGATAAAAATGTTGGCAATGCTCAGAAAGACAATCTTTGTGAAGTTAAAGAAATGGATACTCAGAAAGGAGATTCTGAAATGTGTGGCAGAGCAGAAGATGGTGATGATGATAAAATGTTACGATTTGCATCTGCGGAAGCTTGTGCTGTGGCATTGAGCAAGGCGGCAGCAGCTGTGGCATCTGGAGATTCCGATGCCAATGATGCTGGTATTTTTTGTGTGCATTTGTTGAATTATATGTGGATTCAACGCATTAACGATGTCTACAGAATTCCTGAGTTTTTCCATAACCCCCATTTTATTTACAGTTTCTGAAGCTGGGCTTATCATATTGCCATTTCCTATTGAGGCGGACAAGGAGGAGAGAGGGAGGAATGTTGATACACTTGAACCAGAAGCAGAATCTGAACCAGAAGGCGGCCCTGTAAAGTGGCCAGCAAAACCTGGGATTCCACGCTCTGATTTTTTTGACCCAGAAGACTCTTGGTTTGATGCTCCACCAGAGGGTTTCAGTTTAACCGTGAGTCTTATAGACCTGACCAGGGTGCCATATGATTTTTGCTTGCCTTTTCTTCACTGCTTGTCTTACTCTTTCTGTTGTCCATCAGCTGTCAACTTTTGCAACGATGTGGAACGCACTTTTTGAATGGATAACATCGTCTTCTTTAGCTTATATATATGGGAGAGATGAAACTTTCCATGAAGAGTACCTCTCTGTTAATGGGAGGGAGTATCCGCAGAAGATTGTCTTACGAGATGGTCGTTCTTCTGAAATTAAAGAAACTCTTGCTGGCTGTATTTCTCGTGCTTTGCCTGCTATTGTAACTGCTCTCAGACTGCCTATACCTATATCTACTTTGGAGCAAGGAATGGTATTAATTCTGAACCCTTAATTGTGAAATGGCTAATCATATAAAGAAAAATTATGATAGTTCTGTTTAGGACATTGAGGAAACTGAACTCTTTTATTTGGGAGTTTTTTGTAGTTGTAAGACTATTTTTTCAGGCATAACTTACTAATGCTTATTAATAAAAAAGCTCTTTGTACCAAGAAATTCCTTGCAGATCCCATAGTCACGAGTTGAGTTGTTTCTGAATGTTCTTTAAATGTGTTTTTATACAGGGGCGCCTGCTAGAAACAATGTCATTTGTGGAAGCACTTCCAGCATTCAGAATGAAACAGTGGCAAGTAATTGTTCTTCTATTTATTGATGCTCTTTCTGTATGTAGAATACCTGCCCTCACTCCGCACTTGACTAATGGGAGGATGCTTCTTCACAAGGTGAGGTTCTGAGATTGTAAATGCAGCCTATGATATATTTCAATGTAAAATTATAAAGGGAATTCTTGAAAATTCAGTCTTTTGTTAGCTAAAGCACTGTATTGTGCTGTGTGACATGAAAAGCAAAATCCAATTCTGTAGACTGCTATGATGGAATCTTCTGTTGATTTACAATCTTTGTTTGTAATCTGTTTTTAGGTTGATTAGCATCTTCAGCCATTCTTTCTGCATTTGTATTAGGCATGGTTCGCTTTACTTTCGAATTTATCAACTAGAAGTATTTTTGAATTTATTATTATTATTATTTTACTTTATATATATGTTGCTGAATAGAATCAAGAGATCACTGAGTCAATACTTTGTAAAGCGAAAAGAAGAAGAAGAAGAAAGAGTTGATTGTTTCTTTCCCTTAGCTAAATTCAGTTTCTAGATTTGATTGTAAAATTTCATTTTTGTGATGCTCATTGCTATATTTGTTGGTTGCATAGGTGCTGGATGGTGCCCAGATTAGTATGGAAGAGTATGAGGTTATGAAAGATCTCATAATACCACTTGGCCGAGCACCTGACTTCTCTGCTCAGAGTGGTGCTTGACGTTAGATTGAAGTCAGTTCTTGGTACGTAGGCCTTATTTTCTTTTCCTGGAAGTTATCTGAAATTATACCATTTAAATATTCAATTGGATCAATAGAGTAATTTGATTATTCATGCTAATGATTCCAACTAAAAGTCCAAAACCATCCTTTGGCGCAACAATAATTTGTATTCTCAAATGACACTAGTTGGATTTGTGGAAATTTCGTTTTCCCTTTAGAGTAGACAAGGGGAAGAATTTGCAAAATCTCATGATCTTCAATCATTTTGGTCAAAGGTGCACGTGTATATCCCAAAACATTAATCAGTTTCATTTTCCAATGTGATGGAGTAGATGTATATGTTGATGGATTGAATTTTATAGTATTTTATTTCATATTGAATGGGTTTCTTTATAACTGTTAATTATTTTAAGCCTAATTATTTTACTTTGTTTTCCAGGTTTTGCTTGGAGCGATGGAACCTAACAAATTTGGCTGAATTGTGAAGCTTAAACGAGAACTTTCACTTGAGTTGGGTTGGATACAAAGCCTCATTACCAATTCAGGCTGATATTTAATCGAATGTTGGCACGTGTGTGTTTGTTTGTTCGTTCAGGATGTTGCGTATAATTCCACCTTGATTGGATTCAATTTAGAGGAGACCCATGATTTACCACCTTGGTTTTTCAAGATAAATAGATGCTGTTATGGTATTAGGAAGCAACATATAAAGGTTATGTTCTGTAAGAGGTTTATATTTGATAATTCTATTTATATATATATATATATATATATATACTATTTCTATTGTTTTCTTATTAATTGTCATATCGTAAGAAAATTTTGAAAAACTTATAATTTATATTATATACTTTTAATACTTTTGTATGGTCATTTTATGTTGTGTTTTGAAAATTATTTTCCCAGACGATTTTAAAATAATCAGAATTAATCGACGTTGCCTGCGAGAGTTTTGTGTGCTCGTGTAATGGCAAAGTAATCCCGTTGTATACGAGCAAAATTAGCCCAATAATGCTGGCGTTAAAAAGAATTAGGTTTATAGGACAATCCAAAAATTAATGTGGTACCTGAGACGTTTATTATAATAGTGTAGTTAGAATTCGTAATGTCCTCTTAACCATTATTGGGCTCGGTCATATGGGACTTGGGGGTCAAATATTTTTAATATTTTTCATGGAATTCATTAATAGAGAATAACCAGTTTTAAAAAGTATTTTTTTTTATCTTTATGATTATTTTAATATATTTTATAAATTAAATAAAAAATAAAGATGGAGGAACTCCTCATGATAAAATGATGAGTTCCATCTGAATTTTAAATTGAAGATCGTTGGATAATTTTGAATTAATGAAACTCACCATTCTGTCATGACGAGTTTCAACGAACATAATGATTTTATATGGTGTTTTCTTTAATCATTTTCATAGATTTATACAATGTTCTTATGAAATTGATACATTATGAACGGTATTGATACTAGAACCCAACAAATACAGCTTTAGCCTTGATAAGTTACCCTAAATTAGGTCTAAACATCTAGTTTGATTCCTTAATTGATTTCTAATGTTGGTGCCTCTAAAAATACACCATATAAAATCATTTTTACAACTTTCTAACGTAAAATCTCACCCAAATTCTCATATAACACTTATCAATAAAAACAATACTTCAAAGGCATACATTTGAAATATATGAGTAGTCGGATGACTATTTTATCACTTTTAATAGTAAAGAGACTCAACAAAATAACATTATATAGTCGAGAAACTATTTTATAATTTTTAATAGTTAATGAACTTAACAAAATATCGTTTTATAATCGGAAGACCTTTTGTATACTTTAATTTTTTTATTCGGGGTAAGTTTGCTTGTTTAAGATGTGTTCATGGGATGGGGTAAGTCTAATTGATAATAGGGCAGCGAATCGGAAAATAATTTTCTTAAAAATATATAAAAATAATAATAAAAGCTTACACTACAAGTCTATGAAATAGTAGCATATACAGAAATATATGTAGTAATTAGGGAAAATATACCGAAAGCCAGAGAGAAGCGAGGAGATGCGTCAGTACAGAGAAAACCCACACCACACCACACCACACCACAATTGCCCCATTTATGCAGTACTGAATGTGATGTTTTCATGATAAGATTGTTTGGAAACTAGGTAAAAGAAGATGGAGGATTGTATATGATCTGATCTGATATCTCCCCACTTGGGCACTTGTCCTTATTATCTCCTTTGTTTTCCATCTCATTCTCATAACATCCTTACATGCATACATCAACACGGTTGTGTATCTTTGATAAAAATTGGATATCCAAATCCGAATATAACATCTTCCATACATATTTGTATTTAATCTAAAAATTAGATATTCGAATTTTTAGATATCTGGATCCAAACATAAAATTTAACTTGACAAAATTTCATATTTAAATTTTATATTTTGTGATTTTATAGAATATCTTTTATACATCTACCATATTTTATATATATTTAGTTATTCACACAATAAACCGTTAAATATCTTATTTTTAATTTGGTTAGACTCTAAGCAGATTACTCACTTATTGGACTAAAGATTATCTAAATTCTAAAAAACAATTTCCAATTATCTAATTTTTTTCTCGTATATGTAATTTGAACTATCCAAAAATAAAAAAGGAGATAAGATCCATATCCCTGTTGCTTAGTACTAGATTAGGGTTTAGGATGCGTTATGCAAAACCTACAACAATAAAATATTATTAAAACGTGTTAATTAACAAGTAAATAAAGAGAGAAGAGCAGTAAGCTTGGTGATATTTGCATAAAAGTGAAATGAATAAGTTGGAAGCATATGCAGCCGTGATAAGCCAATGGGAAAGATCCAAACAAACAAATGAAAAATGCAATAGACCCCATTTGTAAATGCTCCTCCAAAGTAGCCACCAAAGACAACATCATTCAAGCAAAGAAAAACACGAAGAAGACAGATTGTTCACTTTATTTGTGGAGGGTTAAATCATGAGTTGAGGGGACCATTCATTTACTTTTCTCATTTTTTAGGCTAAGATCGCCTTTTTGGTGGGTATTAGTATTATTAGTGGGTGGGACCCCCCCCCCCCAAAACCCCTTTGTAACTTTACTGGGTTTTCTACACGTGTGTAGTTTGCAATTGGTTTTTACTGTCTTTTCCATTTAATAATGGGGGCTTTGACATTATCATCATTATTCCACTAAAAGTTGAGAAATGTTGTTGTAAGTTTATTTCAATCAGTTAACCAAGAATTTAAACACCACCATCCTCTTCATTTTATTTTATTATCAATTTTTTTAGGGTAGAAAATTATAATACATGTTTTAATTTTTTATTTGAAACTTGAAAATACTTTGGAAAGTGATGGATTATATTCGATCATATGGGTTTATTAAAGAAAAATTTATCAGAAAATTCAAGTGACTTATTTATGATGTTTGTTATCTTTCAAGGATTAATTTGATGATTAAATTATTGGATTTAGACTTAAAATGTAAATTTTTTAATGATTAGTTCTTAGAGCCTAAAAGAGAAAAATAAGGGTTTAAGGTGAAACTGTGATTTTAAAGGTGAATTCAAGTAAGTTAAGGTGAAAATGGAGAGTAAGAAACATTGTAATTACAATGTCGTATTGAAATGAATATTGTGAATTTTTCCTACACTATATGCGCATGGGTTAGATGGATTCTAACATGTTCTTTTGATTATTTGTGTTATATGTTTGATGTATTTATAAACATAATTCAAAATCTGGATCTAACTATCAACAAAGGAAAGGAAAAAGGGTTATATTTTGACTTATATAAAAAAGTTACAAGGTGAGTGCAATACATACATAACATGATACATGTATGTTTTATACATCATTAGGAAAACTTGCGATGAGTCTACCTTGTTTATACTAGCATGACATTTATGTCATTAATCATATATTTGACATATTTTAAATATGTCAAAAGTTAATATAAAATGCATTGATAACTAATTTATTTATGATGTTATATAATGAATGTTATTTCGGGTATGAACTACCCAATATTGAATTATGTTGATATACAATGTCATGAATGAAATAAATATAGACTATATACTCAAGTAGGTCATTGAGGGACAATGTTATAGTTGACATATCATAGAGTCCAGCAGCATGATGCATATTTAATTTAGCACTATAGTGTATATAAAGGACACTTAGTGCACATGATGAGCACGACCTTATGTGTACTAGCACTTTAGTGCATATTTGACTAGTGTACTCAGGGTTCTCATAGGCTTATATTTGAGCTATTATTTATTGGTTAATAAATTATAAGAAGGTGATTAAGCTTATGAGTTTATGGAATAAATGACAAGTATATTGGTAAGAAATTATATGCATTGTTTATTTCATGTTAATATGTGTCACATGAAGGTAATACAAGTAAAGTGATCATGATGCATTGAGTATTGTTATTTCGTTATATATACAATGTATTGCATTGATTATTATTATTATCTCACTAAGTTTATATTTAACGTGTGATATTTTCACGCGTAGGTAAAAAGCAAAAAATTAGAGTAAGGAGTATCGAACATCACACTCATCAAGAGGTATATTTACAATATCAATAATTACTTAAATTTAATGTAGTTTAAATGTCTTGTTGGCATATATATATAATAATAATAGATTGTTTCTACTAATTTAGATATAACTGGTAATAAATTATAAGCTAGTCATATTAGTAATGATAGATAATGGTTAAAATAAACAGTGAATAAATTATATTAGTGTTTGTAATTGTTAAATGAATTACAAGTTTAGTAATTTGATAAATAATAAAATAAAATAGAGCTCCTGATTAAGATTGACTATAGAAAATTTTTAAGCAGCTATTAGTTTTGCTACCTGAAATTGAATTTAGTTTGGTTAATTAAAAACTAGAAATTGATAAATTGTATTTGGGAATTAAATACGGGTAACGGTGTTACACCCATTAACCCAATATAATTAACCCAACATAACACTCCAAAACCTAAGCCGGTTTTTATTCTAAACCCTACCAGCCCAAAATGCTAAGGAACCTAGCAGAACATTGGTGCCTCAGTCGCCGCTTATGGCCATTCCCCCTTCCACGCCTGCTCCATGCCAGCAGCACCACGCAAGCACGCCCCCCAGCTGCCTTCACGCTCTCCAGCAGCAGTGGTCCCGAGCACTTCCCCTGCTCCAAGCAACACACGTGAGCAGCCACGGCTGCACCAAATCAGCTCCACGCCAGCAAAAACGTGGCTCCTCGACTGAGCTCCCTTCTCCAATCCTCATCAGCAAATCATACAAGACAAAAATGAAATCAATGTAAATTTTGACATAAAAAAAGAGAGGGTGCTATATAAACAAAAAGGGGAGGATACTGTAAGGGTTCTCTTCCCCCAAATAAGCTTTTTCTCCCCTATGAAAAAACAGCGTAGGCTCCATTTTTTACACAGAGTTTTGTTTTGTAAGAGAGCAAAGACTCTCCTTTTTTTTGTAACAAAAACCAAACTCATACGAAAACAGAGGAAGCAATAAAAGCAAGAGCATTTCCAAAGGTCTTTTTTGGACCATCTTTTTTTATTTTTATTTTTTTCAAATAAAAAAACTAGAGTAAAAAACGAAAGGAGAGAATTGTAACGCTTGCCTTAGAGGTGTTCGAGCCTCGTTGGAGGTCTTGTTGGTCGCCGGGGTGGAGC